ATGCTGGGGTGTGAGGTTGTCCATGTAGTCCAGGATTCCCTGTGACGGATCATTCCTCGTCAAACCTTTCAAGCTCGGCTATTTATTTATTTATTTTTTATGTTTTTAATCTGGTCAGTTTCGGTGAAAATCTAAACATCTTCATCTCCATCACCTCCAGCTCTGCCTTCAGACTGTGGCTTCAGTTTGATCACATTTGAAACGTGTGACCACCAAACAGTGGGATTTCTTCTTTACCTTCACAAAAACAGCATACAGCGCCATCTCTGAGGGTTTTTCTGTGACCAGATCACAGAGGAGCTCCAGGGCCATGTCCACCTCCCCACCAACACCACTGCACACATGGGTCACTAACGAACCCACCACCTCCTATGAAACATTACCAGACATTTGGGATGTTAACAACCAAGTTGACATTACCAGACATTTGGGATGTTAACATTTGTAACCAGGTTAATCACAGGGTAGCTGTGGATCAATCACAATTAATCATTATTATGATTGAAGTTAAATATGATTAATCACAATCATTACTTCTATAAAACTTAAATATGATTCATCACAATTAATTGTGATTAATCAACATTCCCAAATAAGACAAAACACTATTTCTCTTGACTAATTCAAATGATAAAATTATATAGAAAAATGTCAAGGAAAAGAAGCAGAACTAGAGATTTATTAAAGTTGGTGATTTTCCGTCATTAGTGTGTTAAAAAACATTTTAATCTTGCTAAATTATTTTGTATAAATCCGACACGCACTTGTTGACAGTAGGGGTCAAACACAGTGAAGGAGAGCCGGTACATGTGTCCACCAAAGGGCACCACACAGGGGTCACTGGAACGTAACAGGCCCTGGGCCAGAGCCAGGATGGAGGAGAAGTATCCACGCAGTACCTGCATCACGAACAAACACCACAACACATCAAACAGCTGATCATGATAATCACGAAATATAGAATTGACCCTGTACTGTGACGCAGTGTTAAGACCTGAGAATAGTCTCTGAACGTCTTCTGCAGCAGAGCCTCCTGGATCAGCCCCGTCCTCACTTTGACCTTCAGCAACCTCTCTGACCCCCGCCGGCTCTGGTTGGCATTGGTGGAGTGGAGGATGAAGAGCACCAGGAGATCTATCACCTGGAGTGATAAAGAGGAGTTACATTTGTCATCATTCACCCAGAGAGAGAGAGGAGAATAAACTCTGAAAATAAATATTTGATAAACCTTGTGGTCCTCTGCTTCCTCCACAGACTCTATGGCCTAAAAAAAAAAGAAGACAACAAAGTTGGACTGAAAGATGCCAGAAAAAGAGAAAACTTCTCAAAAACGTCAACTCCTGAAACGTCACACCTTCATCCAAGCCTCAGATATGGTCTTCTGAAATCTCACTGCTGACTTGATGCCGTCCAGCGTCAGTGTGACGCTGTCTCCAGCTCCTGATCTAGAAGCGTCCCTGTTCAAAGAGACAACTTTTTAAAACCGTACAAGTATTCCAGTCAACAAACGTATGACTGTATCGTCATCTGTGTTTTTACTCGGCTGCTGATTTGCTCTTGGTGCGGCTCTGAGAGGCCTGCGACACGGGAGGGAGAACGCACTGCTCCAGCTGCAGCTTCCTACGAAGATTATTGACCACCTACGTTTGCAAAAATAAAAGTGCAGTGACTAAAATACATTTGTAAAATATTGTTTTTTTTTTAAATTACGTTGCCATGACTATGACCTCCGACCTCGTGTGAATCAGCGGCAGACACAGAGTGCAGGATGAACTTGACGACCACGGGCAGGTCCTCCAGCTGCACGGCCGACAACGTGGCCATGACTGCTGCGCGGACCTGTGACATCAGACTGTCAACATTCTCTCTGATCCTTTTAATGACACCATGTTGTAAAGCAGTGTTTCTACTACCTCAGCCAGCAGTGATGCACTCAGGTTCAGACTAGAGAGAGAGTCCAGGATGGGAACAGTCAGCTGGGTGTTGGTCTGAAGTAACGAGCTGCAGAGAACAGGGATGAGAGCGGGTCTTAATGGTTCTGTCACAGGAACACAGGCAGAAAGAGAGAGAGACGTGAACACGGAGCTTTTTTTTCCTCTACGTACTTGAGCTCTCTGGCTATGTCATTGTGCTGACAGTCTTCCAGTATCTCAGGCAGACTGGTGATAATGTCTCTCACGACGTCCACCGGTGCCACTGACACCAGCTCCATCAGTTTAGCTGCCAACTCCTGCAGGTACGTATACGTACGGAGGTGAATCAGAACGTTATCGTGGAGGTTGAAGAGTCAAAAAGAATTTGAATTATTACACAGGGAGAACGGACAAGTGATGGTGGAAAAAAACATGACTGAGGCGACTGAGTTCACTGCAAAACACAACACAACCTGTCATCAGAAAAAATGACTACCTTGCTGTCCACAACTCTGTCCAGCCACTTGAGCTGAGTGATAATCAGACGTGGTATGTTGAGTCCTCCGTCACTGACGCTGAAAACAACAGAGGGAGGTTACATTTGTTAGAAAAGACTGTTTAAAAAAACATATTCATAATGTTGCCGGTGCTGCCATCAGGAGTCGTATTCTATACTCACTCCTCCAGCATGAACTCGGGGACTTTTTCGAGCAAAGTGTTGATGATGGAAGTCTGTGTGAGAGAGAAAGAAGGAGATAATGCTGGTTCTGCAAGTACACAGTGTAAAATGTTTGGAACTGGAATTTAAAAAAAAGAAACAAAGTTTGTAAAGTAAATACCAACTTGTTACAACTTACAACTTAAATTATAAATAATCTAAAAACAAAGAAAAAGAAAGTTTTGGCAAAAAAAGTTTCTTTAAAACTTTTATTCAAATATTTGAAAAGGAGTGAAAAGTATAAATATTTAATTTAATTTCATGCATTTTTTCTAAATAATACATTATAACATATTTATATATATAAACTTTATGTATACAGACAGACATAAACAAACTGTTTACCTGCAGCATTTCAATTCCCAACAGCAGTCGTAGCAAACTTTCCTGGAATGAGCAGACGGAACTACAGCAACATAAAGGTCAAAGAGGTCAAGGACTGTCACATAGTTCGATATTAACATAGTTAATTAGATAGTTTTCTCTAACAGTTACCTGTCATCTCCGTCAGACAGTCGTGGAACACATGGCAAGAGGCAGTTCCTAAACCTCTCAGGTTCCTCGATGTGACTCTCTAATCCTGAAATGAACTCCTGAACAATCTTGAAAAATTAAAACATAAATTTAACTTTATCGTGTCATAAATTAAGGCTGGGATATTTTCCATTTTGAAGTAGGTGAGAAGAAGGATGATGTGTGTGTGTGTGTGTGTGTACATACCTCAGGGTACTTGGGATTCTTCCGTATTTGTTGTTGAATCCTTTTCTGGAAAACGACTTGGTCGACAGCTGAGGTGATGAATAAATTAATACAAATCATTTGGAGGATCCAAAACTGACTTTTTGTTTTATTATTCAGATTTTATTTTTTCTCTTACCAATCTCGTTGCCAGTGCCATTGTTTCTCAGGGTAACTCCCGCTTCTCTAAGAAACTTGGTGAACACATTCTCATTTATTTCCTCTGGAACAGCTTCTTTGGGAGGACGGCCAGTGCTGCGGCTCTTTTTTGCCTCTATGGAGGAAAAGGTTGGGGACATAATTATGAAGACCCGTTCAGTAAAGAGGAAAAAGTGGAAATTAAACTACATTGTTGCGTTTGTTTGAGCTGTCTGCAAAGATAGGATATTACGTTGTTTGAATTTCATTGTTTTCGTGCCATGTTGGTGCCTTTTGTTCACATTTATTGTTATTATTATTAGTATAATGAAATGTATAATTCGTCTGAGTAAAGTGTATTAACTCACTGGTAGATGTGACGGTTGTCTCTGTCTTATCCACGCAGGAACGACGTTTTTTGCGCATCATCTACAGATAAAAATGACATGAAACAGAACTTCTTTTAACCACAGCAGGCTAGCGCATCATCTACAGATAAAAATGACATACAGAACTTATTTTAACCACAGCTGCTAATTCTGTCAACACAGATGACAAATTAATGTCAAACTGCCTAACGAACACCTATAATGTCAACCAAAACTTGACGACGATGCGGTAAGACATACCTTACTTCTGTGATGTGTGTAATTTGGTGACTGTCAAAATAATTGTCAGTTTTCGAAGACGGTCAACAAATTTCTAATACAGAAACACAACGTAGAAAACAAACTTCCGCGCCAAGCAACTACCACGTCATCAACATCCGACAGCTTTCCGCTTCCCTCCGTCGTATCATGAACTGAGATCTAACCAGATAGACCCGATTCCCTTGTCTTATAATCATCAAAAATAATGAAGACCAAAGATTAGTTCTTAGCTCCTTTAATGGCAACTCTAGATATTAAAAACTCGGATGAAAAAAACAAGTTCAATTTTAATGCGACCACATTGTGTTTTGCACATTCAATTTATAGACTGTTCACTATGATAAAGAGGTTTTTGTTGGGCGGGGTTAATAATCGCTAATGTTGGCGGTAGAGGATATAATTTTAAGGCTATGCTGTGTAATAAAACAAACATCTCCGGATGAAATTATGACTGCGCAACGACATCAAAGAGTAAAAAGTGAACCAAGCTACTTCACCCCTGCTAGAGCTGAAAATCCAAATAAAAGTAACTACGTGTGTCGATGATGACGACAATAATGATAAAGATTATAAATTAAATGTATAAAAATGATATTGTTTAAGTAAAAAAGTTACTAAAAAGTATTACACAAACAAATTGTACGATTAGCTCTATGTAGTAACTGGGTTGTTAGGTTCAGAATAACTTTATTTTGCAATACGTATCAAATGTTTCACCACTGTCATTGTTATGGTTGTTCTAAATTACTAGAATGCTTAGCATGTTGTTGTGTTTCGTGTTTGTTTATTATATTTTCCACAAGCCTTGTAATTTTGTATTTAATTTCCACTATCAGTTAGAATGTATTATAAATAAATGTTGTTGTTTTTTCTCTCGTAACTGAGCTTCTGTCCGTGGTGCAATAGAGCTAGCACATCATGACGTCGCAATGGTTGAATGGCGGAGAACTATCTTGACATTAAACAGGAACTAACTCTTTGAGTGTATTTTCAAGGTTGATACTTAGTTACAGTGCAGTTACAACAGATAGAAGCTGAAGTCCTCAGGGTAACAGTCTCAAGAAACAAGACAAGAAGAAGTAGAGAAGAAGACATGGCGGCGAAGTTCCACGATCTCACGGCCAAGTTGCTGACAGGAGAAACTTTTAATTTCTCCTCTCTTCTGGGTAAAGTTGTCCTCATCGAGAATGTTGCATCTCTCTGAGGTACGACCACCAGGGATTACACCCAGATGAACGAGCTCCACGAGCGCTACTCCAGCAAGGGGCTCGTTATCCTGGGTGTTCCCTGCAACCAGTTCGGCCATCAGGTGAGAGACTGTCTCTGTTAGGTAACAGGTATTTAAAAAAAATTTAAAAAATTTAAAAAAGAGTTTTTAAACTATTATATTTTGAATATTATTATAATGACAATTATATAATTTATTTATTTCTTTTTTTTTCATTCGTTATTCTGTATTATATTATTATAATGACAATTATATAATTAATTTCTTTTTTTCATTCGTTATGCTGTATCCCGGAGGAAGCTCATGTTTTTCACATATTCGACTTTTTTTTTGTTTTTGCCAAAGTTCAAGCTCTATAATGTTATTCTAATATATTTCTTTTAAAAACCTAAAAACTCCTGACTCTAATTTATGTTTCTCCTAGTTTGCCCAGTTCTATTTATACGGAATAATCCTGGTTTGTATGGACTTGAACTGTAATTATAGGCTGCACCTTAGCGATGTGACCATTTGTCCAGTTTAAAGAGGAAATGGTTGAAGATTTCACAAGGCAGGAAGAAGAGGAACTCCTTAGAGGAAGTAACCTGGTTTACTAAGAAATTATTAACTTAACCAACATTTTTGTTTGTATTATAAACGTGACCATTTTTGGGAAACTTAACGTAATAAAAAATTACTGTAAGTCTGATAGACAACTGAAAACTTAAAAAGAGAAAATATTAAATATTAAAACATAATAAAAAACAACTAAATTGAGGGGAGGACAAGAATATCCATTTGATTGGATCAATATTAATACAGAAATATTGCATGTAGAGAAATAAAACAGCCGTGATCTCGAAGGTCTTTGAAAAGTTTTGTAAATTTATTAGACGTACTTGCGTATTTAACCTGTGGAAGGTGTGTGACATCTGAGGTTATTGATCAACTCTTATCACATCAATCACACAGGTGTTGGTCAATCATTGTTCAGTGATTTGTTTGTCCGATCTGCTCACACAGCCATTGTCTGTAACTAATCACAGGTGCAACCGATTGAGGAAGTAAAACAGAGGAGAATCGTCTTATTTCCTTGTTTCAGGTCAGGGCTTCAAAACAATGAGAAATTAAGAAGAAGTAGTGCAGTATTTTTCAACGTATTTATATGCATATACAGTATGTGTGTATTTATATACATGTATATATGTGTGTATTCAGTATGTATATATTTATATATACAGAGAGTATGAAACTACTGTTGAGATCCATGTACTAGAATAACTAGAATAACTTCAACTAATCCTCTGAACAAAGGTACTACATAAACTTCGTCACTGACATCATTGGCCTCCAGTAACGCAGTTACAGCACAATGTGTGTCATTGTGTCATTTTCATATCAGGCGTTAGTTTTTTTTAATTTCTTTTTTTTTTTTTTTTTGCAGGAGAACTGCAAGAATGAAGAAATCCTGCAGTCTCTGAAGTACGTCCGTCCTGGGAACGGCTTTGAGCCAAAATTCCAGCTCCTGGAGAAGGTGAACGTGAATGGTAAGGACGCCGATCCTCTGTTCGTGTTCCTGAGAGAGAAGCTCCCGTTCCCCAGCGACGACCCGACCTCCCTGATGACCGACCCCAAGTGCATCATCTGGAGCCCCGTCTGCAGGAACGACGTGGCCTGGAACTTTGAGAAGTTCCTCATCGGGCCTGACGGGGTGCCCTTCAAGCGCTACAGCAGGAGGTTCCTGACGTCCGACATCGAGGGAGACATCAAGAAGCTCTTGAGCCAGGCACACTAACGAACCGTCCGATCAGGTGCCGTTCCACCAGTCCACGACATTCCCACGACGTCACCAGTGCTCCCCTGTACACCATGACTGTGTTCTCTTCTTCTACTACATGAAGACATCCTCTGAAACCAGCTCAGCTGTGAGGAGGTTGTCTGATCCAATGTAAAAGTCAGAACCTGGCAGTTTCATCGTGTCCACACGGAGCACTGTTGAGTTTTAAATCACTGGGGAGAAATAAATGTTTTTTCCTTCATAAAAACCACGTGCGTCTCTTTGAATTTTTTTCTTTTTCTACAATCACACCCACAGACACTGGTATATCCTAAGGCCACATTGTGGAGCGGTTAGTGCTTCTGCCTTACAACAAAAAGATCACTGTTCAATGCCAGTTGCAACTAATGTTCTCTGTGTATGGACCAGTTTGAAACCGTACAGAAAAAGGTTAATTATTCACTTCGAAGTCGATGCATGTTGTTTACACCAAAACACAGGACAGAAAAAAAGTCTCCGCCTAACAAGCTGATAGTCAGTCATATCAAATGGAACATGAGGGTCTGTAGACTGATATTAAGAAGCAACGGCTGAGACGTAATCTCTAAAGTCAACACGCCGTATGAAGCTGGATTTTCAGGTGTTTTTTTTTTTATTTTCGTATAAATTATTCCATCATTTGGATTAGCCACAAAAAAAAACTTTGTTGATTTATCTCCATATTTCAATGATTAATTGCTTAGGTTCATGATTAATCATGAATTATCAAAATAAAATATTTTATTTACAACCCATTTTTGGTACCAGACAAAAGTTCATCCTTCAGTGACCTGTAATCAGAGGTTAACGTTTTCATTTCGTCTGACTATGAAAGACTGTCATTACTGCAGATTAGTTTTCTTAATTATAATTATTCCAAACAAACCACGGGGTCGAGGCTTCCAGTCTTTATTGTGGTTTAAAATCAAATATTTCTCATTGAAAAACAAATACTGTAAATACTGCAAATAAGATTCATGAGGACAGGAAATGTATACACCTCTGTAAAATATCTGTGAGTTTATGTACATCTGCTGTTATCGGTGGATTTGAATATCACTGCTTTGATTGGACGATGTCGTCACATCACTGAGCGGTTGGATTTTCGTGTTGATATTTTAAAGACTCGTCACATCACTGAGCGGTTGGATTTTTGTGTTGATATTTTTAAAGACATATGACGTTTTCCTACGCGCAGGATTAAATGCTTATACTTGAAGTATTTCCCGCAACAAAAACGACCTCTGGGCCGACATGGTGTAGTGTCAGGCAACAATGTTCAGAACCAGAACAACCGACAGATTCCAGCTTAAAAAATGAAACTGAATTTTTCACCCGACCCTCACATCCAAAATCCCTGGTATTTAAATGCACGCGACTCCCTTTATGAGGCGTTTTTTTTTTTTTTTTTTTAATGTTTATTTATTATCGTCTTATTCCACCTCCAAACACAAGGCGGCTCCTCGTGACGCAGACTAAGTCAATAAATAATCACCTTTTATACTAGTTTATTCTGATTCACTCCATGTGCTGTGAAAATATGAAATAACAGCCATTTTATTACAGAGCTGCAGTAATGTACACCAAAACAAAATAATGACAAGCCAGAGCAGGTGACCCTCAAAGGGCCAACCGGGCAGCAAATTAAAAAAAAAAAAAAAGAAAAAAAAAGTAAAAGACATGTTAAAATCATTGGGAAGAAAGAGCAAGACTGACCACGACTACGGCCAAAGAATACAGGCGTGTGTGTGTGTGTGTGTGTGTGTGTGATGCTGGTCACAGCAGAAGCAGGGAGAGAATTCAAAGTGCCTCCAGTCTAGTCTGGACTCCAAAGGCTGCGTCTGCACGGTCGGTACCAACTGTTAAACCACCATCACCACCACCATCATCATCATCATCATCATCATCAGGAGTGTAAGACAATTTTATTTCTTTTTGCCAGTTGGGGAACGGAAGAACAGCTGAGCTCTGTGCTGTACTCGAGGGGTTTTAAGAAAAAAAAAAAAAAAAAAAATCGAGTGTGTGAGAAGCAGCTTCAAGACCTGGAAGATTTACACGGTTGGAAGTGGAAACAGGTTTTCGATGGCGGGACGTGTTTCGTCTCCCACAGCCCTGACGTACATTGTTCAGCGTGTGCACCTCACACGGCGAAATCTATGAGGGGGGGGGAGGGGCGGGGGACATATCTAAGCCCTGGGCCACTTGTATCACTACCGGGGGTCAGGGGTCAGTACATCTTCATCATAAATAACTTGAAACACTTTGGTTGTAACAAGATGTGCATTTGGCTTCTTTTTAGATTTCTGACCGTCGTCTTGGGCGACAGAAAGACGTGTGTATCTAGAAGGATTTCTCTTTTCTTTTCAGGGCACTTCTATGATTCTGTTCATCCAGTGTCGGGTTCTATATTTACGTAGGTTCCTTTGGGTTCCAGACTGGTTAACTATAATGCAGAAATCAGCAGGCCGACGGCAGGAAGGAAGTCTCTCAGATCAGTGGTCTGACAAGGCGGTCGGCTCTAGTCGACGACACACAAGACACGCCGAAATACAGGGAGGGTGGAGTTATTAATCGAAATCTTGGAGCCCCTCCCCCTCCCCTCCCTTCTCTTCCCTCCCACCCCGTCACTACAGGAGCTTTAGATTTTTCATATGTGCGTCCAAACGTCTCTATTTGCTGTATTTGTTTCAGTGCATGTCCCTCGACCTCAGGGCCGTTCAGTTTGTGTCCATGTGGTCGTCGGCCGCGTCGGGGGCTCCTCCCAGGGAGGCTGAAGGCTGAGGTTTGCAGGGGGGGGCTTCCTCCTCTCTACGCTGATAAAACAATACGTAGGCCGCTTTAGTCTGAAACCAGAGGACAAGGATAGGGTTACCAGAGACGGGGACACGAGAGACACCTTGGACAGAAATGAAGAAAGACAAAAGACGTCTCTACCAAACATCTGTCACCAGTGTTTCAGCTAGACTTTCATTTAGGAGGAGGGTCAGAGGGAGAGAGAGCTGGACAATGCCAGTACCAATATGAAGCAGACTTCAGAGAGTAAACCAACCACCAGGTGCACACTGTGTTTGTGCACCTGCCCCAACCCCGGGTCAAGAAGTCGTCAAAGAAGGACGACTTCTGAGGGGAAAGGAAGAGATACTTCTGAGGGGACACAACGTGAAAGGAAGAGACGGGGAAACGTGCGACTGTGAAAACTCACAACAATCTGGTCCTCTGAGGCCGACGAGACGCTGCTGTCGTCAAAGTAATACCACTTTCCGTCCATCTTATTTTTGCCGTAGGCCGTGTCTGGAGGAGACAGGGGAGAGAAGACGACAGCTGTTCAGGACACGTCTCCACTCAGGAGCTCTTTAAGTGTGGGCTCAGCAGTGAACTGGCTGATTACACACTACAGTTGCCACACTGTTTTTGTTTGTTTTTGTTTTAGTTCATGAAGATGTTCAGTGACTCACAGTGACCTCCACCCATTCCTCCATAGTGGTTCGACACGGCGATGAGGTCGTAGACGTAAGGGCTGGCCTTAGGGTCGCACACGAACTCCGACATGTTTAAATCTCTGTCAAAGAAAAGAGAGTAAAGTCAACGAAAGAAAAAAAAACACAAAACTTCACCATAAAATACACATTTATATTCAATTTAAAAAGTACTTTTTATAGACTTTTCTGCAATGACAAAGTCGGCAGAAACAGATTAAAGAAACTCTTAGTAAGCATGACACAGCCTTTCTTCAAACAAGAACCCAGTTCATTCTTCTGTGTTTCCTGGTTTGCACAGGATCAGGTTCCTCATGGCTGGTCTCGAGAACAGCTCAGAGTGAGCAGGGCGGACGTTACACCACGTAATCCTGAGGCAACTTCTCTGTTGTAACACCTGACGGGAATTAGTTCCATATTAACCGTCAAAAGTCGTGACTCATTCAGAGTTCAGAGCCTGCATTAAAAGGCTGTTTCAGTTACACAGGGACAGGTAAAGGACCAAGAACACAGGTTTTATTGTTCTCTGCAGGAGGCGTCAGGTGTCTCAGTCAAAGATAGGGTGTCCAGACTGTCGCTGGTTTAAGGTTTAAAAAGACTGCAGCTTCCTCTAAGGATGAAATGTAGAACACGTAGGGTTTTCACAACTAAAATTCTATAATAAAGCCATTCTCTCTGACCTTTATTTTAGAGGGAAATGAACATTTTAGAGCCGGGATTCTCTCTGACCTTTATTTTAGAGGGAAATTAACATTTTAGAGCCGGGATTCCCAATGAGAAGATCAGGATCTACCAGTAGATCAGAGATGGAATTCTGGTAGATCATGAAAAATTAATATAAAAAACATATATAAATATAATTCTATAGTGCGCAGTAGTGACCATTTGTGCCACAGTACCCAACATTTAATATTTACACAAAGTATATTCACTTTATACAAGTGAATATATATTTTAATGTTTTCAGTGAAGGTAGGTCACTTTGACCTGGTCATTTAGAGTCTTTATTGACCAAGTTATTCTGTTTGTTTATCCTAAAAAAACAAAGTAGATGCAAAAACGTTTGGACAGACAGACGTAGAGTAAGTTTGGTTAAAGTTTGGTGACGTTGGTTTAAGATGATGAGACAGAACTGCATGGGCAGAAAGGTACACTGTGCAGAACTTGTTTTTTTTTTTCTTCCTGGAAAGTTTAGATAAGAGCAAGGCAACACTTTGCATTTACAGATAGTTAATAAATTAACATTTTAATTAAAAAAAAAACACCTTGTCTTTTTTACTATCAAATAAAAGTCCAGGTCTGTATTATTTGATTACGTTGATTTGTATCAAAAAAATAAAACAAAAAGCTGCGAACCTGATGGGGAAGTCCACCACTGTGTCCAGCTTGTCCCTCCAACAGCGGTTGTATGAGAAGCGTTTTAGGTGAACTACCAGAATACGAGGCAGGGACCAAAGGTCAAACTTTTTCGTGGCCTGTTGGTGTTTTTTACATGTGGGACAATACCTGAAATAAAAAAAAAAGTGATACATGTGGGACAATACCTGAAATAAAATTAAAAAAAAAAAGACAGGGTTTATAAACAATTCCAGGTGGAAAAAAAGTGATTGGTCTGGTGTGTTAACCAACAACTGACCACGGGTCGTGTTCACCCAGTGTCTCCATGGTGGTGAAGAGCTCGATGCACTCCCTCAGGGCCACGGTGGCTTTCTTCTTCTGCGGCTGAATCATGCTCTCGTGCTTCTCGTAGGCCTTAACGTAAAAAGTACACAAATGTTCATAACCCGAGCGGATATTCTGCCACAGGTACACAAATACCGCCAGGCTACTTTACCTCAGCTTCCTGTTCATCGTAGAACATTTTCTTGGACTCTACGTCCCAGTCGATGGCCACCGTGGAATGTGCTGCAGAGGGAGGAAGAGTTTTAAAAAATTAATGGTGATAAAAGTGAACAAACTGATCAAATATAAAGGGTAAAAAAAAAAAAATACTGACGATTTAGTTTGAGAACATTTCCTTCGCAAGGCAGTGGGGTGATGTTTGCTGTTCCGTACGAGTTGACTACGCTGAAAGCGAAGAGCTTCGACGGCGAAGAGCTTGAATTCACCGCCTCTTCTTTAGGCCCGTTCTCCAGATCGGACGACTCCTCCTCCTCTTCTGATTGGCCATTTTGTGGCTCTGGGCTCACCTGGTGGTCCATGGCCTCCTCCTCACCTGAGCAGATAATAAAATACTCTTAGGAAGTCTTCTTTACATCCACCAGAAGAACGTGTGTGTGTCATCAGCCTACCATCATACAGCCCGTTGGTGTCGTTGCAGGTCACCGAGTGGTTGCTGCCGTTGCTGGAGCTGACACTGCAGGACGCTCCGTCCGACAGCGGACTGCCCAGACCGGCGGAGAGACTCGACGCTGCTGAACATTCAGGAGTCTGACTGCTGCTGCTGCTGGCGGTGAAAGAGGCCGAGGCTCTGCTTTCACTGCTGGGGTTCTGGGGCTGTTTGACGTAACGCCTGCGCAATGAAGATAAACAGAAAGACATGACGAGAAGTTCTCACCGGAAACTGTGATTTTTTTTCATGTGTTTTACCATTGTCTCAATCATCTTTTACTTTAGTTTCTGTGTGTTATTTTCTATTATTTATTTTACTTTAGTTTCTGTATGTTATTTTCTATTATTTAAATGCACAAACATTTGCTGTGATTGGTAGGGATGTAACAATACGATTAACTTTCACTTAATGTTTTTGTTCAGAATACAATTTTATCATTTGTTTAGGGAGTTAGAGGCGTTTTTGTTCAGAATACAATTTTATCATGACTAAATGTGCTTTGTTTAGGGAGTTGGAGGGGCAGATTGGACCAGATTTTATTATCTTTATTTTTATTAGTTGACTAACCTATCAATAAATTAAATCATCAACCTTGAAACCAAAATCGTAAGTCAAAGAAATTAGCATCTGGTCTGCTCTCTCTGGTGGAGTTTACTTCCAGCTTCATAACAAACTCGTCATCTCACCCGATTCTCTCCAGGATCTTGTCGTACAGAACGTCAGCTATGAGGTTGTGTCGGGACACGGTGATGAGCAGAGGCTGACCAAACAGCATGGTGGTGGTGGAGCTCCCGCTGTGTTTGGACTGTCGCTCCCTGAAGTACACGGGGAGGTTCATCCTCTCGCTGTCCTCCTCCTGCACCTCATAGCTGCAGCACATATTTAACATGACGTCAGTGACATACAGTGAGGTACAGTGTACGTTCTGTTTGACGACCGGACTCACACAAATATATCGTCCTTCTCCATGATTTGGTTGAGGTTCTCATCCCGTCGATAGATTTTATGGAACCTGTGATTGTAAACGTCCGTCACCACCATCTGGGAAAGACACGTGAAAAGTGAAGTGAGCTTCACTACAGGAGAACGGTTGAATATTTTCCCGTCAGTGGGAAACAGTTCTTACGTTTTCTGATGGGATTCCACAGAGTTTGGACAGGGCGCTGCACAGGTCTGTTACGTTACCCAGTTTGGGGACCACCACTCGGTACTGTAATACACAACACCAATGTAGTTTTCAACGTTTCTCTCTCAACTAACTGATAACTGTGATATGTTTTATTTCCATTTACCTGTGTGGGTCTGGACTGAGGGTCCGTCCGTACCAGGAAAACCTCCATTGAGCGGTCTTTTTTCATTGGCAGGGGTAAAGTGAGGTAGCAGAATGGGTCAAAGGTGACGGACACCTTGGAGCACTCTGGGCACACCAACGTTGACTTGAAAAGGCCATGAAAAATATCCACTATGATGGAGTCATTCCTCAAACGGTGGTTGGTCCAGGCTTCCTTGGCAACAATCTGTAATCGTGTCGACCACGAGCAGAAAACGTATTAAATTTGATACAAGAAAAACTATGACAACAAAAAACACTTGTGCTGAACACGTATTAAATTTGATACAAGAAAAACTGTAAAAAAAAAATGTTTGAAGTAGTCTTTGCTACAAAGGTTCTTTAGGTACTTTTTTTTCTCCAAAATTTAGTTGTGATTCCTTAACATCAACGCAGTGATTTTTTCACTACAACTGACAAGTGAATTAAACAAGATCAACACATAAATCTTAAAAAACGTCACCTCATCTGGACGGCCCTCGGCGTCTCTCAGGGCCAGATAAGGCTTCTTCTTAACACGATTCAGATCTTCATGCAGCCCATCCAACAGAAAGGCCAACAATTCCTGTGAGTCCTGCTGCTGGTAGCCCGAAAACTGGGGGGCGAAGCGTCCCACCTGGGTCTGGTAGAGCAGAGTTTCATTTCACAGTCAGTCTCATGTCAGTTTTATTCACACTGGTAGAGTTTAGAAGTAAACTGGTAAACTTTTGTTACTGCGACTCACTTTGAAGGTACGTGGGGCCACGTAGCTGCTGCGGCTCAGCCACATTTGCTTCACCAGATCGGCATAGGCTTCGGCTATTTCCCCCCTCATTCCCAGTGGATTATCCCGGTTAATCTCTGCTTCATACTGGTCATTAAGGAAGTACTCTGTGAGTGGAGATGCATTGCTCAGGCACTGGAGGAACAGGAGATCACATGAGACAGGAGAGTCTTAATACATCGTGAATGTGACATGTTTTTACTTCTTTTTAAACCTATTGCTTCAGTATTTAGAATAGCACTACTGCTGTTATTTAATGTGGCTGGGGAATAGAGGTAAAGTTGTATTTAGTTTAGTTCATTTTACCTGCAGGGCAGAGTTCATAAAGCAGGTGTTGCCCAAATTGCTGAGGCCACACAGACCAGGCTGAGACTGTGACTCCCTGTAGTTGTAGGATGAGTTGTAGGAGTTGTAGCTCCCCAGTCTGTAGAGGAGGACGTGTTACTGTAAGTACTGTGGTAACCTTTCACATCTGTATCAGCCTCAACTTTGCACAAACAAACATAAAAAAACCCCATGCCTGTTTCCAGATGACGTGCTGTTGTTGAGCGTATATCCCGGGGTACAGCCGCTGTCACCGTTGGCTACTGTTGAGGAGATACTAGCTGAAGAGTAAGAAGACAGTTTGGGGGAGGTAGTGAAGTTCCTGGACGGGGTCGTACTCGATCTGCCGACACAAGAGAAAAGCCAGGTTCAGAAATGTTTTTTTTCTTCTTTCTTTCTGTAAACTGGACATACAGAGCACGAGAAAAAACAGACTTACTTGGGATGGGAAGCTTGTCTCGGCCATGTGCCGTCCTCATTTTTTTGCTCAATTACAAGCACCTGTGTGTAAACAAACAAACAGTCAGAGCCAAAGTCGGACACTCCATTACTAGAATTGATATCAATATTTTGTGCAGTAGTCTAATGCATTGTTTCCCAGAGAACAGTAGTCTAATGCATTGTTTCCCAAAGACTCAATTTTAACTTTTTTTTGGGGTCGTCTCACATCACGTTTCCCAAGAGTTTAAGAATAATGGCTATTGACTTGAGTCGTGAAAGTTTTGTGACTTTTAAAATATGGGTCCCCAGAAAAAAAGTTTGGGAAACACTGGTCTAAAGGGAATACTGATCATAACAATCAGGATCGGATTCAGGTTAAGATTACAGTTGGGGTTGACATTACCTGGTTATGGTTCAGGTTGGTTTAGAGCGAATGCAAAGTTCTTGGGTGAATTATAATATGTGTGTGTGTTTGTGTGTCTGTCAGGATACGACATGACTAATGTACTCTGATTCATTAGACTTCCTATTTGTACGCTGTCAATAAATTATGTATGAGTGATTCCCAGTTTGCCCAGCTGGAGTGTTCTTAGATAGGTCTACGAGTCACGTGAACAACAAAGCTTCGCGCTCTCTCTCTCTCTCTCTCTACCTGCCCCTGGAAGAGACCAGCGTCCTGTACAGTGCTGTCAGGTTTGTTCAGCTGCTCGTAGGTGTTGCTCATGTATTTGTTCCACAGCCGCGTCTCCTTCTCTGATGGGATGTGGAACAGCGTTCTCATCTCCGTCTCTATAATGTCTGAGAGGAAAAAAAAAGGAAGATTGGCTCATCACGCCTTAAACACTTCAATGTGTAGATACGTACATGTCTGGTTGTATTCAGAGGGAAACTCAGCTTAACAACTCACCTATCGTGTCAGCTTTACTAAAATGCCGAGTGACTACGTTGTCCATGTTTTCATTCTCACACAGATTTAACTCCAGGAGGTAGACCTCCACTTTACAGTGCTTAACGAACATGCCATGTTCCACCACCTGGAGAAAAAAAACAGACATTTAGGAACTCAACACTAAAATGAACGCAAGAAAGACAGAAAGAAAAAAAAAACACATTTTACTGCATTACCTTCCTGGCAATTGGTCTCTGACCCTCCAGGCAGCCATACCAGCTGACAAGTTTATTCCAGGCCTCAGTAGGAACAAGGACATAGTCCAGCTCATCTATAAGGTGCTCCTTCAGGACCTGGGTGTCCTGGTCTTTAGATAAAATGGCAAAAGGGGAATTAAAATCAGGAAATCTGATTTTAAAAAAAGATATGTGGCAAATATCCCAGGTACACTGTGCAGAACTTGGACTTGGAATCTAGTGATGTGAAGTTACATGTGGAGGATAAATCACCTCATCAATACTGTCCAAGTCTGAAAGAGTTACAGTTCATACACAAAAGCTATTTGCTTTACTACTGAAAGCAAATGTAAAAAAAAAAAGTGATCCAACACAGGTGAGTTTGTAGGGAAGACTCAGTGTTTAAATATATATATGTATATATATGTATATCAACCAGTTGCATATTAATATGTAAATGTGAACTTTTAAAAGCAAAGATCTTACACAGTGTACCTTTGCAATCCAATATTCTCCAAAAAAGATATGAGCATGTACCAGAAAAAAGCCCAGAATTATCAATTGGTCCAGGAAAGAGACTTCGTTCTCCAACAATGTACATGTCCCAGCTGTCAAATCCCACATACTTCTTCCATTGCTTGAACCACCGGCTGTCTATTAGAAACCTAAAACACAAAGAGTGATGCCAATAAATGACAGAGTTCATAGGGCTGTGAGTCAATAAGTTCTATCTATCCATCTGTCTATCTGAATGAGGCAATAAAACTTGGTATCGCTAGGTATTTATTATCAGCTGCACGATTAATACGGACGACATAAATAAAAGTGTATAATAATTGCCCTTAAACAACACCATCGTAGTGTTGTTACTATGACAATTGACATTTGTTATGTTACACTACTGCTTTCTTTTGACCATTGTTATGTTACACTACTGCTTTCTCCTAACGTTCACTTTCCTAGTACTTCGGTTTCGTTTCCCTGATATCTGTATTGATTTGTGTTGTTCTTCTATGACACTATTTTCTGCACTCCAGGGAAAGCAAATAGAGAATCAACACGGCAGTGGCTCTGACCACTGCAACAAAGACTGTCCCAAATGTTAAATATACATGTGTCTACATTTCGCCCAGGCCTGGACGTTCTAGATCTTAAACAGAACGTAAATCGCACCTTTCTGACAAGCCAAACACGTCTAACAACGTCATAGAACATACGAAACAAAGGCTAATGAAATGTCACGGTGCTAATGTAATCGGTTTCAGTTTATTATAACTAATGTAGCAACAAGCCGGTCTGACCGGTGGAGTATGCAGCACCTGAATTCGGGGCCTTATCTAACAGACGACAACCCATGTCTGTCAAAATGTCACAAACTAAACGTCAAGGTATCGCACCGATAACAACATTAGTTTGTATTTTATGTTTCCCCCCGGTGAGAAAGCTTGTTTCTAAAAACATTTGTCTGCAATTGGTTGAATTCTTAATCCGGATTCGAACTATTTAACTTAGCTGTTAGCATGCTAACTTGTTAAACATTAGCCGCTTCCGTTTCCCCACACTTGGTATCATCGGTTGTAGCCTAGCATTAGCGTGTTAGCATTTCCATTTGGTTATCAGCTAATCTTAGCTGGCTAGTGCTAAGTGATATAGCCGCAGCCCGTTGAGTTGGTTTACATCCTTACCATTCGTCGCCTTTCCTTAGTGTTGTTTTCAAGAGGGTCCCTATAGTCTGCTTTTGACTTTCGGTTGAAGGTGTTGGCATCTGTGCGGCTACCGGCTCCGAGTCCGCCGCGCCACCCGACTCGGGTCCGCCTCCCTCGGCCATCATGCAGTGACTGTGCCGGTATCGTGAACGCGCACTTGGGCGAGCTCCGGAGGGGTGTTCATGGGAAATTCTCTTCCTCTACGGTGGATACACAGGTGGAGCACAGCTGTGGATGCACTACAGTGTCACAGCTCTGCCATCACTCAAAACACACACTCTACGTTGTTTTATGTCGTGTAAAATTAATATATTTAAAAAACGATGTATTGTTCATAAGGTTATGGACGTGCTATATAGCTTTTGAATTACCCACGGAGACGTGACGTCATCGCCGATTAGCAGTTTTGTCGACATACGGTTTTCTTTCAAATCTACACATAAACGCCGAACATGACGAATGGGTGCGACTTTCATTTTTGGCTTTCATTTTTTTTTCGCCCTTGGAGCGGGTAGGATATTGAATAATTCACACGACCTGTGGTACATCATAATTCTCCTATCGACCCCACACATTTATTATTTTTAAATTAATTTTATGGAACAGTAACAAGTCCTCAAGAACTGTTTATAGCATCATTTTATAACTCAAGTATCATTTGTTATGGAACAGTAACAAGTCCTCAAGAAGTGTTTATAGCATCATTTTATAACTCACCAATTCAAGTATCGTTTATTTTATTGCTATACAAACAGAAGTATATAAAAATTCAATCATAAACTAAAATGTTTTTTTTTAAACTAATAAAACCTCTCTTCCCCCATGTGGCCTTATTTATTGGTATGTGCTTAGGCTTGTACTATCACGCCAACAAAATTGTAGTTCAAATCCATTGCCTTAATATTGCAGACAATCAAGACGTACAATTCTGCGAGATGTTCACAGAGAAAAAAGGAAAGGTTTCGGTCAAGTCAGGTACTCAATTGAAACAGCTTTTATACTGTACAAAATGTTTTAGTTACTTAATTACAAAATAAACTGCAAACAAAATAAAGTCACAAAGAACATTTCTCTGCCAACACTAAGTCAATCTTAACTTAAACCTAAAGTTAAAGCTTTGCTTCAATAAATGTCACTGACCAGTTTAATGGCGTTGTTGACAGTTTAAACAAAACTGTCAAAAAAAAAAAAAAAAGAAGAGTGGTTTATTCCTAACCTATTAATGGAAGCATTCAGTAGCTAAATTAGCAGGAAATATAAGTCCGTACAATATTAGAGGCTCAGGAAAAATACATTTTTTCAAAGGTGAAAAAAGGCAATGCTTGTTGTGGACAGGGAACAGTCGAGGAACCGTCGTAATACGTTTCATGGACAGGAATGAATTAGTGTGAAAGGACGTGGACCGTAAGTGAATGTAAACTTGGCATGACAAGAAGGGGTGGGAGTTGTTCCACTTTTGCAATGATTCAATTATAAATCCAAGGCTTCAAGTAGCTGTGGCTGGACATCAGAAGATGCCACTTGGCAGTTCTTTGCTGAACATTCCGTCAAAGTCCAGCTCCCTGCTCATCAGATCTTCCTCCACACTCTCCAGCGCCCACTGGTGGTCAGTTAGTTCCAAAACCTCCCATTCAGCCTAAAAAAAAAAAACAAAAAAAACGAAGACAGATGTAACATGAGCCACTAAAGAAACCGCATGCTAGAGACTTGATTTTTTTTTCATATATTTTATACCTTGAAAGCTTTGTTTGTATCTGCAGGCATGGCCATGGCAGCACCACTCATCTGCTCCTGCATAATCCTTGACTGGTCTGCACCTGTGGGGAAATGGAGCAGATGTCGAAACAATCAGAAAATCAAATTTAAAATAAACAATGACTTGATCAGAATACATTTTTTAATTTATTTGTTAGTTTCGTTGATTATCTGAAGGTAGGACTTGGAAAAAAACCAACTCTACTAGAGGTAGGACTTGGAAAAAAAACGACTCTACTACTCTTAAACTGATGTATACTTGATGCTAAATTACCATTATCTTGGCCAAGAATTAGGGAGTACATGCTTCGAAGTCCAAAGACGTTTAGGAAATACCATGACGCTGAACTCACCCTGGAAAACAAGGCAAAACACATGCAGGTCTGAAAACAATGTACTCAAATATTCACTGTGAGACGGTGTCTTTGTGTGTGTGCAACTACCAAGATGCATCCAGTGACAGAAGCTCTATTCCTTGCTGCAACATAGGCTTGAAGCGCAGGGTAAGTGGGAAAGGAACCTTAGCTGTAAAAAAACAAAACAAACCACAATTAATTGTTAATATCATACAGTACACAAGACAAAACATCTACCACGGAGTGATGTATTTACTTGTAACAAATCCTGAGAAGGTCCAATTAATCCACCCTCCGATGAGGATCATGGGAAGCACGTTCGTGACGTTGCCCTTCATCATGTCTGTCAGCATGCTGGGATCTGTGGGATGTTACAATCATATAGTGAAACACATGTCTGCCAAAAAAAAAATGTAGAGGACCAAGTTCTGGAAACACATCTGTATATAATTTAAATGTAAATGGTTTGTTTTTGGTCACAGTTTCGTAGATACTTATTTCACCAACATTATGTGGAACTGTGTTTATTGAAGCGTGGAAATTGTGCTACACAGCTGGAGTGACATTATGTTTAGTGGTGTTAAAGCTCTGCTCACCTTCTGTTCAACTGTGGTTTGGCTTGAAATCAAACATACACCAAAACTAGTAATACTAATCCCTGGCAGTATTATAAAACAAGTCTGTCACAGCATATGTTTTAACAACTGCTGTTAATTACAATTTTACTTGAAGAACTTCTGATGCAATAAAAAAAAACACCCTGCAGTAACATTTAATATTTGACTAACCTTAACATTCAAATTTTCAAAAATGAGCCTTTATAAAAACAAAAACCGAAGTTGACTTTTTAAACTCTACCTGTCATTGGAGATGGTGGAACAACCTTCCTCTTGGTCTTCTTAAAAAATCCATCTTCTTGATTGTTGAAGTAGAACTTTCTCATCAAAAAGGACTGCAAAAAAAAAAAAAAAAAAAAAAGGTAATATCATAAAAAAAAAAACAAAAACAAAAGGTAATATCGTCAGTAACACTTTTATAAATATTGTTTTTGTGCATTTATTAAACTATAATTAAAGGGGGGCTCTCTACCTGTTTGGGAATGTATTTTCCATTTTCTCTGAGTATTCTACTCCGGATTAGAACTTGGCTGAAACCATGAGTAAGAGTATAATTATAAACAAACATGACAGAGCTGCAAAAACATAAAACACACCTCACAACTAAAAAAACACACACACACCTGTCAGAAACCTGCTCTAGCGTCAGCTTCTTGTCACTCTGTAGGAGAATGGAGACATAATGTCGTATCACCCCGACAAAAAATGTGATGAAGACAATGGGCAGGACCACCCAGAGTCGGATGTTGGAGTCCAGTAGAAGCTCAGGCTCTGCCATTCAGCCTGGTAGGTTGAACTGAGGAGGCAAAGATGCAACAAAGTGTAACAAGCTGTATGCTACATGTACAGTTTGTGACTAAAGCAGTGGCTCCCATATTTTTTTTTCTGAACCACCCTCCCTTTTGTTGATAGGGCTTAAGTCTGTCTATTGAACGTCAAAACAAACTGTATTTACTATAAAACTGTAGTAATTCACTGTAAACAACATCAATGACATGATTGCTTTGGCATAAATAAACCTCAACCCCAATTTTGAGAACCACCGGCCTAAAAAGTTTCACACAGTCCACTCCTTTACCTCCTACCTACACTGGGTATCTGTTCATTTTTTGTACCAGTTCCTTCACCGCCACCAGGGTTCATTTACCACCTCCTAGTCTGCTTTGGTAAATGCCTGTTTATCTGTATTTAAGAGGGTGGGTGAGGGGTTAATAACTGCACTTGTTTTGGTCATGCTGTCTTATCATCCAAGTTGCAACTAACAGCCTTGAGGTGGACCTTCCTCCTCCCATCTACCATTCATCTGCCTGGTGTGAATAGATATGCCTCAGCATATCTGAGGCAAAACAAACTATCACTACAAGGAGGGAAAAAAATCTGAAATTAATACAGCATGATAACGTGAACAAACCTCAGCAGCAACACTGCAAAAAGCCACAATGAAAGCTTATCTACGGTTCGTTTAAGAAGAATGTTTACCAAGAAAATAACGATATACATATAGACTATGCGATTAAGCCAAAGATTCATACAGGAAGTTGCGTTCATTAGACATGCCCCAGTGGACGGAGGTAAATCTTAAGAGAGTGTTTAGAAAACTTAACGTACAGAACAATAATTATAATAAATAATGTTTTTTAAAAGAACGGAGAACAACGGTAGAAACGCTGACTTAGCATTGACATTGCCAAAGAGCCTGTGCTGCGGCTACGACGGCGATGCTAACGGAGCAGCAGTCAATGCTTCACTGTGTTTTCAGCAGAGCTGTTTTATAAAGTGGGTCGTTTTATGTCTTAAATCATTCACCAAAGCCGTCATTATTTTTTAATAAAGGATACGAAAATCGCGAAAAGCACCGCGGTCGACATTAGCTAGTTGCTACAATACCTTCTTCCTGATGTCCGGCTAACAGTTGATAGGGGCTGGACACAGAGTCGTCTTTACCGCACCTATCAACACCTGCGGCGGGTTAACTGACTCCTCCGACAGACACAAAATAAAGGGAATATAATAAGGGAATAAGGGTGATTAAAACAGCCTTTATCAGTACGGATGCTGTGCTACAGCCATGGTGCTCTGCTGTTGTCTCCGGGGATGAGGGGGATATTTATTTCTGCTTCTGGAGAGCTGCCGCATCTTCCGTCAACGGAGTTCAGCGCCATCCTGTGGCAGTGAATGGAACGTCCCGGAGACGGTCTATATCTGTCAAACGTTTAAGTCATTTTCTTGGAATTTTTATAATACAAAAAAGGTACAAAAATTACACATACTAAATTTCGGTATTTTAATCGAGTCGTTGAGCAAAAAACAAAACAAGTCGTCCAAGTTTTAAATTGTCTGTGAACTTCCTCACGATGTTTGGCTGCTTCCACATCCTCTTCCCAGTTGCCAAGTGTTTTTCTAGCTTTTAAGATGTCCCAACACCCTGGGTGACACATCTTTTCGCAATGACTCTGTTCTGACTGACATGTCACTGGAACACAGCACGACCGGGAACATTGTGTTCTGGGAAACGTAACCATAAGAGTCACCTTGTTTGAAAAAAAAAAGAAATAGTATCTTAAGGTTTTGTCACTGTATCACGATATAAGTGTTTTAAGGATAAAGAAACAGAAACATTTTAAAATAAACATAGCGCTCAATGATTTACGTACACTGATAACGCTAGAGGGCAGCACCATCCTAACAAGTACGCTAAACTTGATCGTTACTCGACATTATCATTATTTTTTGAGGAGCAGCAGCAGCAGGAGCAGCAGCTGCCAGCACACTGCCTGTCCCACAGTGACAGTGATTACATCCTCACTGCTGCACAGCACATTGTATGATTGGAAGAGTAGGATTAACTTCGCTGCTGTGGAATCACACACACACACAATCCTATTTCTTATTCTTTCGCTGAAAGCAGAATCTCTTGCATCACATCCTGCAACTGAAAAGGAAGGATGCTGGATGTGACCCAGGCCTCCTCCTGGGTGACAACCTGCAGGCTTCCTAACTCGGCACCAACCCAGCGACCGCTAAAGTCTGCATGTTGATGATTACTACTGCACTATTTAATAAACTGGACTCAGCTCACCAGAATCTGGGTCAACTGACTAAGCTGTTCTGCATAACACAGCCAGTGGCACTACTCATACTGAATGAAATTTGTGAGGGGATGAATTGGACACACCAGCACTGTCCCAATGTATAGAGTGTATGATTTCAAAATAAATAAGACTTTCTTTTATTCTTCTGAGCAAAAGTACAGCACAATGTTTTTGTTCTAACTGTTTGACTAGATGAATGCATTAAAAATCCATTTTAAACTCAAGCTTGTTTGCTGTATTAAAGCACAGGCCAAATGAATCAGAATCAGAATGTAAATCACTGTATTGCTCCACAGGGGGAAATTCTTTTGCATTACAAACAACCTCCTAGTGGAAAGAGGACTGTGTCATATAAAGCTAACATTCATTGCTGTACAGTTATCCACATTTACCATACAAAGATGTTGGCGCCTGAGCTAAACATGACATGGAACAATATCAGCAATGACTCTGTAATAATGGCAGCAGCTAAGTAGCAATAGAACATATGAAAACAATGTCAGCCATGTAGTAATTGCACGTATGAAAATAACAGCAACTAAGTAGCAAACAATAGCAGCAAGTACAGGTAGTAATAGATATAACAGGTAAGTAGCAATAGCTATAGTAGCTAAATAGGAATAGAGATAGCAGCTAATTAGCAACAGATATAGCAGGTAAATAGCTATAGATATAGCAGCTAAGTAGCAATAGAACATATTAAAATAATAGCAGCTATGTAGCTGTAGATCGTATGAAAACAATAGCAGTCATGTAGTAATAGAACATATGAAAACAACAGCAGCTAAGTAGCAAACAATAGCAGCAAGTACAGGTAGCAATAGATATAACAGGTCAGTAGCATAAGCTATAGCAACTAAGTAGCAATAGAGATAGCAGCTAATTAGCAACAGATATAGCAGGTAAATAGCTATAGATATAGCAGCTAAGTAGCAATAGAACATATTAAAATAATAGCAGCTATGTAGCTGTAGATCGTATGAAAACAATAGCAGTCATGTAGTAATAGAACATATGAAAACAACAGCAGCTAAGTAGCAAACAATAGCAGCAAGTACAGGTAGCAATAGATATAACAGGTAAGTAGCAATAGCTATAGCAATAGCAGCTAAGTAGGAATAGAGATAGCAGCTAATTAGCAACAGATATAGCAGGTAAATAGCTATAGATATAGCAGCTAAGTAGCAATAGAACATATTAAAATAATAGCAGCTATGTAGCTGTAGATCGTATGAAAACAATAGCAGTCATGTAGTAATAGAACATATGAAAACAACAGCAGCTAAGTAGCAAACAATAGCAGCAAGTACAGGTAGCAATAGATATAACAGGTCAGTAGCATAAGCTATAGCAGCTAAGTAGCAATAGATATAGCAGCTAATTAGCAATAAATATAGCAGCTAAATAGCAATAGATATAGCAGCTAATTAGCAATAAATATAGCAGCTAAGTAGCAATGGACCATAGGAAAAAAATAGCAGCTAAGTACAGGTAGCAATATCTACCTGCTATCCGAGTAACACTAGATATATTCCACACACCAAACTAGGTTTGATTTTTGCCGGGAAAGAATTCACAAACTGTCATTTACTGTAGGTGAGAGAGAGAGAGAGAAACGGTCAATTCTGTGAAATGATCAGGTGCCTGTCCTGCTGAGAAATGAGTATAAAAGTGAAGCTTCTCTCTTCACAAACAAAGACATGACAAAGAGAAGAAGCCACACGGCTGGAACATCTGTCTTCTGCAGATAAGTCGGTGGCCAGCTGTCCAAACAGAAGACCAGGGAATCCAATAACCGAGGAACGTTTGATCCACACAGTCATTTAGAGGGACTAACTGTATTTGATGAAATCCCAGTATCCGATAAATTAGGTATTTCTATTTTATGATCCACATTATTTTTTCTTCATTCTGTGACATATTTGGGATATTTCTTCTATGTTCTCTCTGTGTTTCTTAAAATAAAAGCCCAAATGTGGTATTAACCAACCGAGAGTGGATAAAATCACATTACGACCTCAAGGCTGGAACTGAATTGTTCCTGTAATGGGAGCTAATGTAACTAGATAGTAAGATTTTAATGTCTCTTAGTTACATTTAT